GAAGCGATGCCGTCTGCGCCAACAATGAGGTCGGCAGTCATGGTCCTTCCGTCCGCCAAGAACACGGATGATGACATCTGGTCTTCAGACACGGTGAATGTTTCGACCTTGGCGTTTGTGACTAGCTCGGCTCCCAAACCGACAGCACGCTCAAGGAGGCAGCGGTGGAGATCAGAGCGATGAAAGTCCCAAAAAGGGAAACCACCTGCTGCGGCGGCGTACTTGTGGTAGTCCATGTCACCCAAGAAGTTGCCCTTCCAGCCGATGAAGTTGCACTTCTGGGGCTTGGTCGCATACTTCTCCAGCTTCTCCTCCAGGCCCCAGGAGAACAGCACGCGGGCTGCATTTGGCAAGACTTGAATACCAGCGCCGACCTCGCCGATGGCCGGCGCAGATTCAAGGACTGTCACTTCATGCCCGGCCAGCAATGTTGCGATGGCCGCTCCTAGGCCGCCAAGACCAGCGCCGACGATGATGACCTATTCGCATGGTTAACTATTGTCTACACTCCTAGGATTTCATCAAGCTTGTGCAAAGAAGAGAACAGGGGCATTCTTGACTTACATGTAGCCTGCTACTGACATCTCGCTGGATCTTTTCTTGAATGATGTAACTCCTTGCTGATGCCATGATATCGACTAGACTTGAACACAACACCAAACAAGTTCAGGCGTAATTCAAACGATGAGCTCTTGTTTATTCAGCAGATGAACAGATGAGACGATGCGGCTGGCATGGGGCCCGAGAATTGACCCAATGATTGTTCGCGTGCATAAATATGATCAAGGCCCGGGAGGACCTCCTCGGCAATGACGCAGAGCGGCGAACATATGGTCACTCGTGCGCCTCTTTCCATCACACAGCAATATCCTAAGAGTGGAATTGATCGCATCATGGACACCACCTCGACTCAAACCGATGGTCGCACGTAGTGTTGTCACGAATGCCGAGTCTGCGCCGTGTGCAAGTTGACCCCTCCTCCGGCTACCCATCTCCGAGTTCTCCTTGGTCTTTCGTAAACTCAACTGGTATCTCCAAACTGTCAGACGTCCGCTCCAATAAGATAAGACACGCCCGCATTTGGAGTCTATCATACAAGCGTGGCCCCCGAAGTCGCGTTACCCCACTCTTATCTCTCGGGCGAGCTGTCCTGGGGTGGGATCGCGGAGAACCAATGTCTTATCAGGAGTGGCGTAAGTGGGGGAGGGGCATGCCGGCCATCGCCCTCCGTCAACCTGCGAATATCTCGCACTCCTATCAACACCCTCGTAGCAGATACGGGTTGCAACGCTACACAACATGCAAGATACCGCAACCGCGCAGCGCCGAGAGAGCCAGAATGCGGAGAAGTGGACCCGATCCTACGGCGTCGCACGGCCTATGACCCTCCCCATTCCCCCATCTCCGGCGATATGATCCAATTCACAACCCAGATCGTCCTATGCGCACATCCAGCTTTCTTTCCCAGCCTTCAGCAACCTGGCTGAGACCTCTCTACATCCTGTCAGGGGTGAAGAAATTGCACTGTACTCGGGAGTGGATGACCCCCATTGGACAACCATGAGCGACTCCCAGACCGCTATGGCGGGCAGCGCCAGCTATCGTCACAACAGCGAGAGCTCGGACGGTTACCTAGGTGAAGAGAAGACGTTCACCTGCTCTCACCCGGGCTGTAGCAAACGGTTCACTCGGGCTGAGCATATGCAGCGACATGCTCTCAATCATCAGCCTGGTGGTTTGAGTTGCGATATTTGCAGCGCTCACTTCAAGCGCCCTGATCTGTTGAGTAAGTCGTAGTAAACCCCTGAATCACGCAATATAAAGCCTGATTTAGTGAATCTTATGGCACTGTGATAACTAACATGACTAGAACGGCATATGGACCGTCACCGTCAAAAGGATCTCGAAGCAGGTGGACCAGGTTTTGGAGTTTTGGACACTAGGAAAAGATCTTGGAAAGCACCAGACGGCTCCGTTGTTGAAAAGAGACCCTGTCCGTACCCTCCAGGCCGGGGTAGAACCTCAGGACGCGCACGCCCGCAAACCACTCAAGTACCTTCACCAGAACCGGAGCCTACCGACGGAGACCAAAGTGTCTCTTCTTCTGACGCTGCAGGAGAACAAGACTTCTCAGTTGGAAGTATTTCGCCGGACATTCACAGGCGTCACACGGTTGATCTACGACCTGCGAGCTTTGACTCTAATCATTCTTACCCCTTTGATCGTGGCAACCTATTCGCCACGTCAGAGACCGTCAACGACTTTGCTGGCTTCCCTCCAGCGCTACAATTTCATGATTTTGGAGCACCCGACAACCAATTCGACCTGGATGCCAATCAGCCTATCAACTGGGGCGACCCATTCTCGAGCGAGCATCTGGACTATGACCAGATCTTCCAGCCGGATACTGCCAGCTCGTTTAATATGCCTTATACCACCGCCTTAGACTACAATTGGCTTTTCAACATGCAAGAGGCTGCTGGCCCCATGATTACGTCTAAAACATCAACCCAGGAGTACAACACTCAACTTCCTGAGAACCCTTCAATTGCGCGGACACAGACCAACATTGCAATCACACCTGAGTCTATGAAGAGCGCTCAACTTTGGAACGACCCCATGGACGTTGCACCAACCGACAACAGTGGCCAAGACAAGCCGCCAAGTTACAACACCGTTATACAATCTGCTCCACAAGAGCTACCGCCGAGGGAGCCTCCAAAGAGACCTGCACCACGCAGCTCTGCGGAGAGAAGCTCGGACATGAACTCCGCACGGCGCGCTGCCGAAGCGTCGGGACCGACCCGAAAGCGGTACACAGCAGTCAGCCGGCCTGCTCCAATCTTGGAGCCAGAGCGACCACTGTCATCCCTTAGGAAGCCTCTCAACACCCCAACTATTGACGAGAAGATTCGAGAGAGACTTCTTAATACCGCCGACGCAGCCAAGCCCTGTCTCCCTGATCATCGTTATACGATCTGGGAGCACCCTCTGCTGTCCGTCGACTCTCTCAACTCCTATCTTCATCTGTTCTTCACACGATTCAACACGGCCTATCCTTTAATGCACCTGGAAACATTCAACTGTGCAGACACCGAGCCACTTCTCCTCCTCTCCATTCTTCTACTGGGAGCGACTTACTCTAGTAAGGATTGCCACCAACTAGCCGTCTGCATACATGACGTAATCAGACCAAGCATCTTTGCTCATGCTGGTTTCTCTCCAAGGCCCGAATTGTGGACATTACAGACGATCCTGCTGGTGGAGTGCTTCGGAAAATCTCGTGCGGGACAGAAGCAGCATGACATGAGCCACTTGTTCCATGGTCTCTTGATTAACCTCATCAGGCGCTCTGACTGCCAATCTGTGAGACCACCTGGCCCACCACCAGTGGGAGGAGATGAGAGCGCCGGGTCTTTGGATAAGCTGTGGAAGAAGTGGGCCGAGGCCGAGCAGAAGAAGAGGTAAGTTCTGCTCGAAGCACGTTGATAGTGAAGATAACTAACTCAATAGCAGGCTTGCTCTACTTTGTTTCATGTGGGACACGCAACATGCAGTTCTCTTCTGTCAGAGCCTCTGCATGTCTGCGTTCGAGCTTCGCCTCGAGCTTCCCTGCAACCAGAGCATTTGGGAAGCAAGAGATGCGACTGAATGGGTATCGGCGTGGCGATCCAGCATCAGTGACCAGAGAACGTTCTACCTTCCCGTTCTGAAGGCGTATCTTATGCCATCTGGTCCGAGAACCCACGGTCTCAGTGGCTTCTCTCGTATTCTGGTGCTCCATGGTCTGATGTCCGTTGCTTGGGACATGGGCCGTCGAGATCAGACTGCCCTTGGAGTAATCTCCGGAGAGAGTCCAGGTCCAGGCTCCGGATGGCGCAAGACACTGAGCTCAGGCTATGATGCTTGGAGGAGCGACTTCGATTGGTACTGCAACAACTTCTTTGCCCAAATGCCGCGAGGACCGCCATCGCCAGATGACGATGTTCGGAAGATGGAGTTCGAATCCTTTACGGCGGCATACAAGGCCCTGTATCACTCCGCCCAGGCGCTGTTGAACATGGACTTCTTGGATGTGCAGATTTATGCTGGCGCAAGACATATACTCGGCAGACCGGTCCAGCAGAAGGATTACATGCGGTCCGCGCAGGTCGTCAAGAGATGGGCTTCCGCAACGAACAATGGCCCAGGTGAGGCGCAGGGCTCAAGACCAGGAGAGTCCTCCGCAGCAACACCCTCGGACCAGAGCGTGGGACAGAAGCAGTCTGCCACAGCGGCTGCCTGGCACGCAGCGCAAATGCTACGAGAGACCAAGAAGACTCTGAGTGGTACGGAGGCGATGAACCTGTTTCACGTCCCGTGGTGTCTGTACCTGGCGACGTTGACATGCTGGGCGTTCCATCATGCGCGGCCGAACAGGAACTACGGCGTGCCTTCGCGCAGAAACTTTGATGCGATGGGTGAGTTTGACGAAGATGAGGATTGCGAGGAAGACGAGATGATTTGGGACCCGCAGGGTGAGATGGATGCGTTGATCTCGAGTATGTCGGAGCGGGTGGAGCGAAATGATGCTACGTTAAGGAGGGAGAAGAGGCGAACCAATGGCTTGGTGTGGATTATGGCGGATATCCTGACGACGGTTAGATGGGGGATTGTGCATGCGGGCGTTGTTGTATTGCGGGGGCTTGTGCCTCAGCGGTTGATTAACCAGTATGAGGAGGCTATTTAACGACATGAAAATGATGAAATGATCAAAGTAAACCTCGTTGAGGGCATTCAAGAAGATGGGCTTTTCTCATTTTCATGAAGCGATGTTTGACCAATAATTGTAGATTTGTGAGCGGTATGAATTTGAACCTGATTCAATTCTACATCATTCAGCTTGAACTCCTCCCCATACACCTTGATCGTGTCCTCAATCGTCGTCTTGTACAAATCCACACCTTGGAGACTTGCCTCGTCCGGCGTCTCCGAAGAGAATACCGAGAGAAGCCTACTACTCAAGCAGTACTGGGCTTCCCAGCATCCTCCGTCTGCTCGACATTGATGCCCCTCTCCTTCTTCTCATCCAAGGTAGGTTCCGCACCCACCGCGATGATAACCTTGGTGCTGGCCCTACCGACACGGTACCAAGGCATGTTGAACAACTCCTCTATATGCTTCATCGACAAGCCCTTCGTCTCAGGGTACGCGAAGTACGCATAGACCGTCATGCACAGCGTAACGCACGTGAAGAGGCAAAAGGGGCCTCACGAGTGCATAGCGAGGACCATGTTCGGCTCTGCCCGTGACAAGGCAAAGTTTACTAGGTACTGCCAGGCAATGCAGATGGCCATACAAGTGGAGCGGATCTTGGTCGGAAAGGCTTCAGCGCTGATGATGTATGGCGCGACGGCCCATGAGAAGCTGTAGCCGACGGCGAAAACATAGATGAAAACCACAACTACCAAGCCGCCGGCCTTAGATATCTCTCCGGACTTGTCGAAGACGGCGAGGAAGACGGTGATATAGGTGAGAGACACTAGGATGAGACCTGAGCCGACGAACAGCCCGGTTCGGCGACCGAGTCTGTCGATGATGAAGAGGCAGTAGAGAAGGACGGAGAAGAATTTGACCATTCCGTAAATGCCAGCAAAGAGGTAGTTGAAGGAGTTCGAGGTGATGCCGATAGACTCTAAGATCTAGATACGGGTGTCAGAAAATCTGTATAGGACGTGAACTTACGGGCGTCATATAGTATGTCAACGTATTGCCGCCGGAAAATCGAAACCCGATCTGCATCATCATGACCAGAGCAAGGCGCTTCCGAACATTCGAGGACGCCATCTCCTTGAGGAAACCCTTGAAGCCAGGGGAAAGAGCCAGCTCGTGCTCAAGTCCAGCACGGATTTCGTACAGTTCCTGGCGAAGGTACGCGTGATCCCTAGGAAGAGACCTCAGGTTCTCAAGCGCTGCCTCAGCGGCCTTCGACTTGCCCTTGCTCAGCAGCCATCTCGGTGACTCGGGCACGAAGAATAGCCCGACGATGAGAATGATGCCGGGCAAGGCCTGGACGCCCATGGAAATTTGCCATTGTGCGTTGGAGCCGCCGAGGCTCAGCAGCGCGCCATAGTTGATCCAGTACGCGAGGCCGACAGAAAGCATCGTGTTAGCGTTGTATGATGCGGTCAACCCGCCTCGAATAGCGCTAGGTGCGATCTCCGCCATGTAATTCGTGCCGACGACGCTTGCTGCTCCGGATCCTGCCCCTGACAGGAACCGACCGACGAGGAGCTCAGCTCTGCCTCCGGCACCCCCCGGGTTGGCACTCATCAAGATGGCCGACACGGAGTAGACGAAGGTAGAGAGGCCAAGAGACCATTTCCTACCCAACTTGTCGTTGATGGGGGCGATTATAAGGGAGCCGACACAGGAGCCGAGAATCAGCATGGAGGTGATCCAAGCTTTCCAGTCAGCGAGGGACTCTTCCGACATGCCGCTCAGCTCGAAATGCTTCTTGAAGGGCGAGAAGGCGAGGACGCCCGATATGTTGGCCGTGTTGAAGCCTATTGATGACAGCAACGGTTAGTACGTCAATGCTTGGCATGCGGCTGGTTAAAGCTTGTCTACGCACCATGGGCTGAGCCGGAGAAGGACAGGATGATTGCATAGCAGAGAATCTTCCACGAAATCGCATCTTTCGGGGTTTGCTCGTATATCTTCTTGTCGATGATGGCCATTGCAATAGGTCTAGCCAGATTTCTCTGAGGAGTTTGAAACTTCTCCAGACTTCAGAGAAAGATGGAAAGGGTCGGGCTCAGATTTGAACTATGGCATGGGAGGCGGGAAGACTGGGTTCCCCGTCTAGGTCGTGCCATGGGGACTCCGCAAATCCCTAAGTGGAGATCGAGCCACTTGAACCTCTGAGGCATCCCAAAACTAGATCTAAAGCCGCCTGATCCGGGTTCAAGATGGCGTTGCTCGTGGTGGGGTGGACTTACACATGCATGGCCTGTGGATAGAGCACCAAGCAAGATGGTTTGTCCTCCATTTTCTATCCCACAAAAACGCCGATGAAACTCAAGAATCATCACAAGAACCTATCACTCAGGGTTCGTATTGTCAACAGGTTGTGTAAGTTGAGACTGGCTGGGTAACTGTTGCGGGAATGATCCGTCGCTGGCGGTGACCGTGCTTACACCCCATGGGCAACGCGTTCCTAGTACGGGATAGTCCCGCAGCCGTTCATTGTTCAAATAATAAGCTTCGTGGGATTGGATGGACTTATCCGGGTCTCCTTTTGTATTCGGATCATTCCAGGTGCTGGCGTTGGTTCCGGTGGCCGGAGTAGTCCGCTCGGCCGGATGGCTCCGTCTAAACATCCCAGACTTTGAACGTCGACTGAGGCTCAACGCTCACGGACCGATCAGCATCTGACGGTTAAAAATGCAATGCATGTATTCTAGGAATCATGAAAATAACGTGCTCTGGGGATATGATGGGCACAGGCATCGGTCCGTTGTCCGTCTTGCAATCCACTGATCTCAATGATTGAGGGGCCACCCCGGCTTGAATGCCGTGGAAGATGTCGTAAAAAAGAATTGATTCCCTGCATCTGTAACTACTCTTGCCCTCTATTGATTCGTTCTCAATCAATCACTCTGTTGGAGGTCGAGTGTAGTTAGGGTTGATGTGGGTCACGATGCTCCCCGTGGCATGGGGCTATGAAGCTTAGCAAGACAAGCAGCAGCATAGCGACGCTTTCTCTTCAAGTACCTAATTTCTCATAAGTCTGCAGAGATGATTCAAAATTACATAGTTGAGATGGCAGGGCTCTCTTATCATAGCCCCTCACAACAACCAAACCGACCTAGTTATTCTAGCCGCGATTCTTCAGCATTGCTAATGTGACATCCTTGTCGGAGGCGTATTTATGGCCTGCACTCGTATTCACCGAATTCTCGATGCGAAGGCCAGTGAACGTCATTGATGCCGACTTGGCGTCAAGGTTGTTCGTATGTTCGTCCCCAAGCCTGGTACTCATTCCACCGCTCACTGACACATGGGTGAAGATATGGCCCTCTGCCCTTGCCCTGTTCAGCAAGGAATTGCGTAGAAGCTGATCGTGGTTTACGACAATTTGCAAAAGCTTTTGAGTTGCCTGCGGTTTGAACACACCCGCCTATTCTGACACAGGGCATTATGTTGCGGGTGGGCTGAAGGAAACAGCTTGATGAGAGTATCCATAGCCTCACAAATTGAGTCGATGAGGGTGTTGAAGTCGGCCCTGCGGTATAGCGCCCATCGCGTTTGACGTCCCATCTCCTGAAGCTTCCTGCGTCGCTTGATGGTAATTGTACGCATGCCATCGATAAGTCCTTTCAAAGGCTTGTCGGATTTTTCAAATTCCTGAGTTGCATCTAGGACCTCCAAATCCTGTTTCTTGTCATCGTCATCCATGTTCAGTCCCTTAAACTGCTCAGACTTTCTCCTGGCAGTCTCAAAAGCATCTTGGACTGTCTGAAGCCATAGTTCAGCCTTCCAGAGCTCGCTCTCCTTCCAAGGACCCTGTTGAAATCTGGATCCTGCATCGGGATTCTCGTCCAGAACGCCCATTGCCTCCCCTCATCGCGTGGACTCCATTTCCGCAGCTTGAAGTTTGGCAAGACAAAAGGCGAAATCTTGATGCAAGGCTCTTCCAATCTGGACATACTGAAAACAATCCAGGGATGACTTGGAAAAGCCAGGAATGGCCAGCGCGAAAGCAGGGGAAGTCATTGTGAAAATGACAGATCTAGAAAGACTTGCAACCCAATACGAAAACAAACTATACCGATAGTCAATTTTGTTTGATGCTTCGGATCGACGCAGACACTTGCTGCGATGCCCGATGAGTTGATTGTTTATTGTTTCTTGCCGGAGTATGAACCAACTATGCACACATATTCACTGGAGGCTACAGCGGACGGGCGGAATCCATGCATTCTGAGCGAGAGATGTTTGTGTTGTTCCTCGCGCGGGACATATTTGGCGATGATAGATCATTTCTCCAAAAAACCCTATTGGAAATTGCGACATGGAGATGGGACGGTCGGTATCATAAACATTTCTGGACCAGGAATATCGCACGCGGGCGGTTTATGACGCCTTATACTTGCGCAGACGTTCTGTTTTCGCCGGATGAAATGTGGTTATCTTCCTGGACCCCCAGCGAGTGGCGCTACAGTTTGTCGCTCATAAACGTCGAACTAGACAGTGTCCAGTGGAAAACCGAAGTCTACAAAAGACACTTTCCAGAAGAAATTGCGTTTGATTCTACCGGGAATCGTATCGTGGTCGGCGCTTATCAAGACCCCTATCGAGCTGGAGGCTTAATGGCTGACAAACGCAGCCATGCATTCGTATTCAGCATCAACGATGGAGGCCGGTTGTTGCATTCAGAACTTATTCATGATTGGGGTGCAAAGCACGCCAAGTCCTTTTCGGTTGGGTTTATTGGCGCTATTCCAGTCGTGGTCGAACCTCACCTGGCTTTCTCTCAAAGAAGTGGTAGAGAAACATGACAGAACTGCACCAGCAAACGGGGTTTCTTGCCATGTCCGCACCCATACAGTTGATGGAGATTATTGGATAATGAAAGATGGCCGGAGAAAGGTTCTCTTGCCAGACGACTGTAAAACTTGGGATCGCGTCGACAATTGGGACAACCTATCGCATCGTGTTTTCGGCTACAACAGGACCAGAAATAAGCCGTGGCTACTCGAGTTGGACTGCCGTAACTGTCTATTTCCGGGCAACGTTCTTCAGATGAAAAGCGATGACCATGGCTAGACCTGGGCTATGATCTATTTAGTAATTAGATGGCAATCTGCATCGGTTCATTGGGCTTCGCCGCCACCCATCAGTAGCATCTGTTCATCAACCCGGAAAGTGGTGGTCAACTGCTTCGTTCGACCATGTGCCATGAGCGGAGCCACCCGGCTGACCGAAAGGGCCAAGAAAGGGACCCTGATTGTATGCCGGACAATATTTCCGCTGAAGAACTTCTCCTGATTCCTTGGCTGAAGAAATGCCCTGGCTCCATCAGCTCGGACTGCGCTATGGGACGAAATGGAGCTTGGACTTGCCTAATCAGGCATCTCGGCGCCGAAACCCACGAACTTTCTTCAGCATCACCCCACGAAACCTCGGGAAAGACCATGATGAAAAGGCGAGGTATTGTGTATTTAAGTAATTGGAGTTCGTCTGACCATGCTCCGTCTTGTATCATGATATTGTCGTTGTCGTATTCAAAGATCAATAATCCAATCCATTTTGCATCGGCTTTCAACACTTGCCACCACCATGGCCGACATCAACTACTATCAGCGCCTCACAGAGGTGTACACCTTGGACAACAAACCACTACTCCTAGCTTCCGCCGTCAGTTATGTCGTCGGTTATCTCCAATACATGTACGTCATCCGCCTCGCTCTTCGTGAAGGCAAGGGTCCGATGCCTTTCTGGATGCACTCCTTCTACCTCGCCCACGACTCCACGTGGTCCTATATCCTGGGCAAAGCGGCAGTCCAGCACAACGAGCATTGGTTCCTGAGAGGAACGTCGACGGCACTATTCGTGTGGACGACGCTGGAGATGTGGACTATCCACAGGGCCGTTACCAAAGAACGCGAAGCCAATTTCGCTTCGGTGCTCGGGAGCAATCCGAGCGTCTTCTCGGCGGCGGTCTACGCGCTGGCACTCCAGCTTGGCATGTACACGGTCGTGTTGCTGGGCATCGCGTTCATGGGAGAGGGCTGCGTGATGCAGTGGTTCTGCTTCACCAACGTCCTTATTGTCTTGGGACCGACCCACCAGTACCTCAGAAACGGGTCGAGGCATGGGCTTTCGCTTGGGTTCTGTTTGGTCAACATTGTCGGAACCATTTGGACGTTTGCACCATTCAGTTTCTTCGTCTTGGCCATTCCTGAGGTATTCGACAACACGCTGTATTACGTTGTGGGATGCATCCTCACGGTCTATTCGATTGGGTGCTATTTCGTGGTTTCGCAGTATCCCGCCAAGAAGGCGGATATGAGCAAGCCTGGAAAGGGAGCTCCGATTTGGTAAACAAACAGCAGAAGTGTGGTCTTGTTGGAAGAAGAAAAGGTTCAGTCTCAACTCAATTTGAACAATTTAAAGTAAATATGACAAAGAGTCTTTGACATCCCGACGTGATGAGGGTGAATGGCTTGCTGTGAAAGTGAAAGTGAAAGCGGATTCCAATTGATGATTCAGGGGCTTCGGATAGCTTTAGTGGGGCACATGCCTTATATAAGCCAGCGCGGGCCCATGCATGACGCAGCGCATCCCGCCGAGGGGTCCAGCTGCTCCGACCGCCTCTCACTGCACCCCGCACTAAGCTCAGCTGAGCTCTCCCACGCGGCGCACAACCACCACTGCAACCACGACCCGACCCCTTTGGACGACCTCGGCCGATCTCCTTACGCGACGCGTTCCAACCCTCCTCGAATCTTCTCCCGCACATCGCGCCTCTCGAGGCCGCCGAGTCCTTCCCTTCCAATGCCGCCCATACCGCGAACTACGCCCCTCCCCCGCGTCATCACCTACTACCAGACACACCATACTCCCGATGGCAAGCCGATCTCCATCCTACCGCTCATCACGCAGCCCGACATCAGCGTAACCCACGTGATCCTCGCCGCGATACACATCAACGACGACCCGCACGCCCTCACCC